GATTTTTGATGGGGACTATATATGTTCAATGAGGATTCCATTAGCTATTAATTCTGAATAATAGAATTTTTTTCTTCTAAACTTATTTTTAGTGCATGGCAGTAGCATCATACTCTATAATCTGATTTAGGTTCGTAGTATTGCGAAAGTTTTCATTAGGGGTCAGATCTAGTTTGAGAAGAGAAATTGCTCTATAGGAGTGGAAACCTAACTATGGGTGAGTTGTGAATATACATGAGTCTAGTGCAAGATTGCGTACACCCGCTTCCAGGGCCAGAGTGGAAACCTACTGGTCAGGATCGTCAGTGATAGTTGGTTGCGATCACGATAGTGACGTAGTCATACCTGCGAGCTCGAATTCAAAAAGTTTTAGCTAAGATCTTTTAAATTAATTTTTAGCAATGTTTTGAATCGTTCATACCCCGGAGATAATTTCCCTAAAAACCCAGCATCTCGTTTTAATAGTCTTACATCGATTTCCATTCAAGCTTTCTACGTTAAGTCTTCTTTATTTTCCCAGCTGATTTTCTTAAGTTTTAGGATTAGGTCATTTTTAGTTTTTAATAGTTTCTTCTTTTTCCTGTTCAGTTTAGGATTTACGTTTTAGGGACACCCCAAAACCCCTTTAAAATATTGATTATTTCTAGACTTCCTTATTTTAGTTTCTTTCAAAGATTTTTGTAGAAAATATCCTCATTCCCTATGGATTCGGTCCCTAAGTACTACAATCAATTAGCTGAGCACTTGCGGCTTTAATTGATTCTATTAGGGTAAAACTTGACACCCCCACCGCGACTAACATCAGGAATGTTGGAAGGTCACTTTATCTCACCAATACAAGACCTGACTTATGTTATGCGGTATATGTGTTGTGTCAAGTGATGCATCGACCAAGAGTAGCTCATTGGTAAGCGGCTATGAGAGTGTTTTGGTATTTAAAAGGTATTTTAGGTCAAGGAATGATGTTGAAAGCAGATACCGATTTACAGGTGTGTGCTTACTGCGACTCCAATTGGGCGGCTTGTCCAACTTCTCGCCATTCTCTCTCAGCCTACATAGTACATATTGGTCGATCGCCAGTGTCCTGGAAGACAAAAAAACATGATACAATGTCTCATTCTTCAACTAAAGCAGAATATCATGTGAAGGCAGTGACTTTACAAGAATTAAAATGGACTAAGTACTTGCTGGCTGATCTTGGAATTGTTCATTCGGCTCCTATGCAGTTGTTTTGTGATAGTTAGTAAGCTTTACATATTGTAGTAAATCCGGTTTTCCACGAGAGAACAAAGCATATTGAAGCTGTCTGTCATAGACTCATAGTGCTCGTGATGCAGTTCAAGACAAGCTTATTAAAACTCAACATGTGCATATCGAAGAACAGATTGCAGACATTTTAACAAAAGCTCTTGGAAGTTCGAGTTTTCGTTTTCTTTTGTCCTAGTTGGGTGTTTTAAACTTACACACTCACACTTAAGGGAGAGTGTTAGATATAGAAGGTTCTAGAATATTCCGTAAATTGAGAATCTGTGTGTATATTGTAAACCCTAGAAGTTAGGGCTAAGCCCGTCGACTATATAATGTAAAATTGATATATGAACACGACAACCTTTTCCATTTTATCTTTATATTATTATTTAAGTAGGCACTTAAAAAAATAACCTTTATTTTGTAAATTATTACCTGAAACGCCATTACAAATAATAAAAAATTATTAAAATAAAAATTTATATAATTGTCTTTCAAAACTATTAAAAAAAATATGAAAAGTCTGTGTTTGTCATTTAATAGAGTATGTTTACTATTTAATTTCTAAATATAAAAATATGATATTTTCTTATATTGTTTATTTCAAATAATATTATCGAATATTTTTTCGGCAAACTATTTTATTAATATCTAAAAAACGGTTACAAAGTCAATATACAAAACTTCTGGAAAACAAATTATTACAAATGCAGATATATGCGCCATATGTTAAGACTGATATAACATGAAAAGTGAATTTGACGATGCTTTACGAATAAAGTCTTATTCGCTAACGGATAAGTAAATCCGTTATTTTCCTTTTCCGTATTCTTTCTTTTGATGCGAATTGTGTGTTTGGTTAGCAACTTTTGGCTAAACCTAGTACTTACACACAGCATGATAAAAGCCAATGCTTCCGTTGTATGAAGTTTTGTTTCTACAATTGGATACCAAAGCTTCCGTATCCAAATCCTTCTATCAGGGTTTTGCTTTGACTTTGTCCCCTCATCGAACAATGCATATTTCTGTTTTGGTTTCTGCATTCTTCTGTATTTCAAACTCCAGTGGTAATCAAAGCGATGAAGCATCTTCTTTCCTCTCTTTGACCATACCTGTTTATTTCTCATCAAACAATCATCAATCCCAAAAATATTTATCCCTGGATCCCAGTTTCGTGCTTGAGATCCCCTTATCAATTTAGAAAAATTCAAAATTGAGTCACAGATTCTTTGATGAAGAAAGCAAAACGTTTCAACGACGAAACGACAGAAGCCACCCGGAAAAGTCCCAAATGGAATAAGACCAACACAAATATTCTTGAAACGTTGCCGAATTATTGTTGGACAGAAACTCTTCCTAAAGGAGAGAAGGAAAACGAGACTTTGAAATTGAAACTTCAAAATCATCGATATGGTTTTGTAAGAAGCAGAACAACATAAGACGAAGAATAACAAAGGAAAAGCAGAATAAATTGAGGCATAGAAAATGGAATTGAAGATTAAAACCACGAAATGAAGGGAAATACACAAAACGAAATCTAGTCGTAGAGAGAAGAAAACATCTTGTGAAGTCGCTGTTTGGTGACAATCAATAGAATCTCCCATCTAGCCTTAGAAATATAACTAAAATAAATAAAGGAAAAGTATAGCCGACGACGGAGCCGACGTCGGCAAGAGAAAAAACCAGTCGAAGAATCTCTTCGATGAGAAATCTGCTTATTGTCTTTCGCAAGAGGAGAAAACGGTTCCACTTGGTTTGTATTTTGTAATATTATTTAATATTATTTAATATATTCAATTAAAAAACGTGAGAAAATCTTTTTTCTCAATTGTTCAAATGTGAAAAATCAAAGTTAAAAAGTTATGATATTAAAAAAATGTTAAAATATTTTTTACTATAATCAGCTATATTTTACATGATTACTTGAGAAAATTAATTTTTTTAAAAAAAAATTCATGGTTGAGTGAGAGTCATTAAACGGTACATATTAGAATTGATGTTTTTAAAGTTATATTTAGAGCGAGTGAAGAACGGGTTAAGTAAACGGTTTAGTTTGATATGAATGAGTTATGATTCTAATTTTTGAATATCTACAAAAATAAGTATTGGAGTTCAAAATATTAGCTTTAAAAGTAGGTGGTATACTCAATTTATTAAATATTATGATTTGTTAATGGGTTGAATAAAAAATTTATTATAATTTGTCAACAAGGTAAATAGACAGCTTATTTCGTTATAATTTCGCATAACTAACATTTATAACTAAAAATTTAAAAATTTATTTTTAAAATAATATTTAATATATTATAATTTTGTGTATCACGTGATATGGACTGCTTAACCAGAGTTCAATCAAACGCACTGCTTAAGCGATCCAACAAGGATATGTGTCCCTTTTATGGAGCATACCAAGCCAAATAGGAGTTGAGCAACAAACTGAATTTTCTATAAACTCAACTAATCAGAGATTCATAACAAAGTGGATTTTGGTCCATTTAGGTCGGACCATACCGAAATCCAATTTACAAACCGGGTGATTCCAAACTATGCTATTAAAGCTTATACAAACCTATGACAATTGTTTGATGCTTCAGGGTCAATCACAAAGATTCACTGAATCAAAACAACATAGAGAACATTCTCAGCTCATCGAAAGCACGTTTTGAAGTGCAATCAACCCAATATCAGTATGCATGAAAGGAGATATTCAGTTCTCAGGTTGGATGATTCTGACATATTCGATTTAGAGCTATGTGTACTCATAGGAGGATTGCAACCTAACCAGAAGGGATTTCGAAACTCTTGAATCAACAGATTCATGCAGCAAATTGGATTCAAATCAACACCGGTTCAGAAGTGAATTGTTAAGTTTCTAAATCGGAGGATTTCGACTTACCTTTACGGATTTAGGGATTTCAAGCGTATATTACTATATTTGGCGACCAAGAGTCATTCTCCATTAACCAGGGAGTTTAACCTCAAATGCTCTTAATGAGTTTTAAAAATTCTATATACTCCCCTTTTATTCTACATACTCCTCTCTATTTCTCCCTATTTTTCACCCTTTTTACTTTACCCTTTATTTAAAAATGGCCCCACTCCCTTTAAACCAAACCAATTAATTTCTCACCCATCCCACACCAATTAATTTTGGTTTTACTTTGAACCTACCCAGCCCAACCACCTATGTTAATGGGACCCACTCTCTTCTTCTTCTTTCTTCTTCTTTGTACGTAGAAACCAGAAAAAAAATTTTTACAGCTCCCTTCCCTTGAAGCTTCAGCGATTTCCTTCAAAACTCTGGAAGCTTCAGCGATCTTCAACCCTTGACAAATACATATCCTGCAGCATTTCTTCAGCTGATCTCGACGACCCAGAACGTGATTTGAAGGTAAATTCTTCTCTTTTCAACAAAAAAACGAGTTTATGCATTTAGGGTTTAGAAATTATGTTTGTGGTTTTTTTTTCTGTTAGTAAACTTATGTATACGTTTGTTCGGGATTTACATTGGCTATTTAAGTATACTAGAGTACTAGAATACGTATGAATCTTCAGAAGCGTCGATCTGTAACCAGAAGCTTTTAGTACAACTGGTTTTCCTTAGACAACTGGTGCAACTAGTACTACTGGTGTACAACTATAAATATATTCTAACAGTTTTTATTTTTTCTTTTAACAGAACGATGAGTAACACTCGATGCACAATCATATGTTTTGATTCGGGGGGATGTTATTCAAAGGACGGTGAATACATGAGGTGGAACTCAGAAGAGGTTGAAATTCATACTTTAGTGATTAAGACATCTATGGAAGAGATCACTTACAATGGGCTGGTTGATAAAATTTGCAAAAAGCTTATGGTAGATGGAGCTATGACGCAGCTTAGACTTAGCTACTTTCCACTGATATTGGATCCCAAGAAGCCATCATATGTTCGGAATGATGAAGATGTATTTGGTTATCTAATGCAAGTGAATAATAATCAGTGTAGAAGGGTTTTGCATGTGGAGCTCATCACAGATGTTGAGCAAAATGAGGGATTTGTGCAACCGTCAGAGCCACAACATGGTGATGATGTTAATGATGGTATGGATACTTTTTACAAAGGTGAACCATCAGAACCGCAGAAAGAAGATGTTGTTAGTGAAGATGCTGAAGATGGTGAAGATGGTGAAGATGTTGGAAATAATGTGCATGAAGACTTTGGTATGTATGATGATATTGAGGTGGCACCTGCTGTAGAAGGAGATGTGTACGTGAATCATACATGGAAAGATGGTATTGATTTAGTTGTAGGACAAGAATTTGGCAAAAAGGAGTCATTACAAGAATTAGTGTTTGTAGCCTCCCGTAAAAATGGTTTTGAGTTTGATATCATCCAGTCAGATACACGTCGATATGTGTTAAAATGTCGTGGAGCAAAAGATGGGTGTAAGTGGTATTTACGAGCTGCAAAGACGAAGAATTCAGATCTTTTCTCAGTTAGAACGTACATCAAGACTCATACATGTTCTCGAGCTACTACAGTTACAAGCAAAAATCGAAGGAAAGGCACACCACAGTTGGTCAGGTCTATTTGCCATTCTGATTATCCAGGCAAACTTAAAACTCCAGCACCACAAGAACTGATTGGTTTGGTTCAAAACGCATTTGGTGTTAAAGTATCATACTCTACTGCATGGAGAGGTAAAAGAGCAGCTGCTAATGATGTGCGGGGAAGTCCAGAGGAGAGTTATCAGTTGTTGCACTCTTATTTGTATATGCTAGAGTACATGAACCCTGGTACACGCACTTATGTGGAATTGGATGAGGGAAACAGGTTTAAGTATCTTTTCTTTGCCTTGGGAGCTTGCCTTGAGGGTTTTCAAGTCATGAGAAAAGTGATTGCTGTGGATGCTACCCACCTTAAAAATGCATATGGTGGTGTTTTAATTGTTGCTACAGCTCAGGATCCTGACCATCACCATTATCCAATTGCTTTGGTGTAGTTGATGGTGAGAAAGAGGCAAGTTGGATGTGGTTTATGAGCAAGTTGAGATCAGTTGTACCAGATGTTCCTGAACTGGTTTTTCTTTCTGATAGAAACGTAAGTCTCCTCAAGTCAATACGTGAGGTCTTTCCATTGTCTCAGAATGGTGTTTGTATATATCATTTGTCTCAAAACGTGAAAGGGAATGTCAGTGGAGTCAATAGAGCAACTTGTGCGAAGAAGTTCCGAGCTTGTGCTCATGCTTATACAGAGAATGAATTCTTGACACTATATAGTGCTTTTAGGAAAATGTATCCAGATGCAGCCGACTATCTGGACAGAACTGTTGGTGAGGAGAAATGGGCAAGATGCTATTTTCCCGGAGACAGGTATAACATAGACACCACCAATTGTGCAGAATCTATCAATGGCGTTTTTGTAGAAGCAAGGAAATACTCGCTGTTACCAATGATTGATGTGATTATTGCAAAATTAGCTGAATGGTTTAACAAGTATAGGAAGGCGTCTAATGAAGTTTCTACGGCACATAAGCTTGTGCCATATGTGGAGAACGAAATGCATGTGAGATGTGTGGAAGCAAATATCTTGACGGTGCATGAGTTAAACAGCTACCACCTTGAGTACAATGTGATTGGGCGTGATGGCAAGGTTTATCTGGTTGATATGAGAAATAAAAGTTGCAGTTGCAAGAGGTTTGATATCGATAAGTATCCGTGTGTGCATGCAATAGCAGCTGCTATCTTTATGAGCGGGGATAGAGAGCTCCATCTACGTGAATTTTGCTCCCACTATTATTGGATGGAACATTGGTCGTTGGCTTACTGCAGGACAATCTATCCAGTCCCCCATAAAGATGACTGGGTTGTTCCTGACCATATCCGAGCAAAATGTATATTTCCTCCAGAAATAATTAAGAAAAAAGGACGCATCAACACAATTAGGCATCCATCAGTTGGAGAACATCGAGGGAGAGGAAGAGGAAGAAGAGAAGGAAGAGGAGGAGGAAGAGGAAGAGGACTAGGAGCATGGTTGTATAATGATCCTAATGTACCAGAGCAAGAGGAAAGAGAATAGTAATCGCTGTACAACTAGTACAACTATTGGGTACAACTAGTATAATTATGCAGGTACAACTAGTATAACTATCGGGTACAACTAGTACAACTATCGAATACAACTAGTACAACTATCGGGTACAACTAGTACAACTATCAGGTACTGGATCTTTTTTTTTTTGTTTTTAAAATACCGCATTTCGGAAAGCAGGATGTGTTTAAGGATTTAGTTTCATATCTATTTTGATGATGTAAATCCAACTTGATGCATTTTTGAATATTGAGAACACAAAAATCATATTTTCATAACATATACCTTATACTTCTATGACAACTATTACAACTAATGCTATATAGTTATAAGAAATTAACAAAAAAACATAATTTTATACATTTAATTATCTATATGTGTCTTAAATGTCTTATTATTAACTATTTTCAAAAGTACAACTATAAAAATGTAATTTCTAGTACGATATAACTAATAAAATCGTTTTATCTATGAAAGTACAACTCTGTGTAATAAAAAAAAATAGAGTACAACTTACCTACTTGGGTACAACTTTGTATATTATTTGACGGCGCAAAAAAGTAATTAATTATTTTTATAATTATTTTGCTGGCGCTCGTGTAGTTTGACGGCGCTCGTGTAATTTGACGGCGCTCGTGTAATTTGACGGCGCACATGTGGTTTTTGGGCCTGAAAAATTCCTTTTGTTCTAGTTTCAACAACACTAGTTGTACGCAATAATACCAGTTGTACTAAAAAATCTGAAAACATAATTTAATTAAAACAGTAAACCTCCTAGTAGTTTTAACTAAAACCTGTTTCACCAAACATAAAAAACCTCCTACTAGTTTCAACCTAAACCATCTACAAGTTTCACCAAAAACCAATAACTAGTTTCAACAAAAACAAAAAAAAACTTGTTTCTTCTACTTCTTTTTTTCAGCCTCTCGTTTCTTCCTTTCTCCTGGTGCCCTTTCTCCTATTCCTAATGAGCTCAGCCGTCCTTTTAGCCTCAGCACTCTTCCGCATACATATTTTGTAGCGTGGTTTCACTCTTCCGCATACATATTTTGTAGCGTGGTTTCTTTGCTGGTGGTTCAGGAGTCTCCGCAGGTACAGGTGTAGGTGCGTTTGTGGTCTCCACTGCAGGTGCAGGTACGTCTGTGGTCTCCTCCGCAGGTACAGGTGCAGGTGCGTCCCTGGTCTCCTACGCAGGTACAGGTGCAGGTGCGTCCCTGGTCTCCTCCGCAGGTACAGGTGCAGGTGCAGGTGCGTCCCTAGTCTCCTAATTTTGTTTTTGAACATACACTTATGAGCGAGGAAAGAAATAAATATCTTTTTTTACCTCTTGCATTTGATCCTCCACCTGTTTCATACACTCTCCCCACATCTTCATACTGAAAATCCATAAAATCTGAATCTCTCCTTTGATCAGCTATTTTCATTTCTACAGACTTCAGTCTTGTGTCCATCTCATGAACCTTCTCATTAATCTTCCTAAACCCTTCTTCCATTTTCTCGTTAATCTTTATAAACCCTTCTTCCATCTTCTTCAACACATCCTCACTTCCTGCCGCTTCAGTATCTGTCGGTTTGGGCAATGGCTGGTCTTCTCGGGATTTAACATCTAATAGGTACAGATCCTTCAAGTGTATCTTCTTCTTTTGCTGGACTAAAATCGTGTGCCAACTATCAACAACAGGGTCAGAAACAGCATCATCCTCTCCTACTTTGAAGTCATCCCATACATGCTCGTCTAGGATGTCAAGCAAGAGTTTGGCTTCTCCATCTTCAGGTACCAAGATACTGATAATATCCTGTTTAACGAAAAACAAAAATTAAATTAAACTAAATCTCTAATAATGTATAAATATAAAATGAAAGGAGACTCCTAAACCTTTGTATCTCCAAGCACTTCATAAATATCAGCTAAAGAAAATCCTGTTTTGCCTGTTCTCTTAAACTTCCACTTGCACATTTTTGGACAATCACCATCTGCATTCCCAACTTTTTCTTGAAATGCTGCTTTTAGAACCGGGATAGATTCAAACGCCAAAATCTGCACATATAATCGTACTAGTTATGCCAGTTCTACCAATAATACCAGTTCAACTAGTTGTACCCGAAACACGAGTTGTACCAATACTACTACCTATACACTATATCAAGTTGAACCAAGAATACTAGTTGTACTAATACTACGATTTTTAGTTTTACAAGTTATACTGAATTTAAAACATATAACATTACCTCTAAAGGCAATATGAACCCCGGAAAAGTCCAATTCCCTCGAACAGATCCTCCAAAATGATCCACCAGATGTGCAACCTCAGCTAAGACGTCATCAAAAGTGAAACGACCCCAGGGAAACGTTTCACACAGATCCAGATCATCCACCACTCGGAGAATGAATGGGTCTATGGATCCACCATATTTCTTGGACTTTCCTTTGATGACAGTTGCTAAGAAGAAAAGTACAACCATCTTCAACCGATCAGTACAACCTTCAATGAAATCCATTGATTCCAGCTTCTCACGCACCTCTTTGACCTCAATATTGGTCTTTCCAAACTGCTCCTCCACAAAATACATACTCCCTAACTGCTCATAGTCGGCTGGATAATGGTGGCAGAATAATCCTGAAAGAAGGCCGTGTTCTCTGATTGAATACCGAACAGGCACACCATTCACAACAAACCAACACTGCCGCTGCTTGTCTGTCACTGCTGTTCGGAGAAGCAACATCCACATTCCCATTAACATTCTATTCTTCTGGATAAACATGTGGACAATATGCTTGAATTGTGGGTGGTTCTCAAACCAGTTTCTCTCTGAGATATCAAGCCTCTTGAAGACTTCCATGAAATTAAAGGTTTCACACCTTGATTGAAGCTTCGGGTATAACCGATACTCGCTTTGCTTGAAGAATAAACCTCGAGGTTCCATCGGTATTGAGACGTCCTCTTGCTGCAATCAAAACGCATAGGATAAGTGAATATAAGTGTATTGGTACAACTAGTATTCTTGGTACAACCAAAACCAAAAAATAAGTTGTACGCGATAATTCCAGTTGTACTAAACTACATTTCGTTCAACCACAAGCAAAAATCAGTTGTACGCGATAATTCCAGTTGTACTAAACTACATTTCGTTCAACCACAAGCAAATATCAGTTGTACGCGATAATTCCAGTTGTACTAAACTACATTTCGTTCAACCACAAGCACAAATCAGTTGTACGCGATAATTCCAGTTGTACTAACCGGTAGACCACAAGCAAAACTCAATTATACACGATAATTCTAGTTGTACTAAACTACATACCGGTTGTAATGGATCAACATTTGAGTTTGAACCCAATCCTTCTTCTGATGCAGTAGCATACTCAGCCTCAGATCTCTCTGGTTGAGAAGGTGAACCCCTAGTCGACATCCTCCAAAAATTCTGAAACAAAAAATCAGAAATCAGTTGGGGTTTAGGGTTGAGGGAAGAAAATCATAAATTCAGGTTTTAATTACTCTTAAGCCTAGAAGATACCTGTTCGGCGATGACGGAAGTGTGAAACGGCGGTGGTGGCAAGCCTAAAACGGCGACGGCGACGACCCTAAATCTGAAGGGTGAAGAGTGGAGAGTGAGTGCGAGTGAGTGGCGGTGAGCGAAGAGTGTGGGGATTTAATCGAAGAGGAAGAAGATGATGGAAGAAGACGAAAATGATGGAAGAAGATGATGAATCGAAGAGTCCGAAAATGATGGAGTATGGAGATAATGGAATCGATCGAAGAAGGGAGACGAAGGAGGCGGGAATAGATCCGGTTTTGGAGGGGGTGGGGTTTAGGTTTAGGTTTGCTTTCTGGTTTAATTAAATTGGTTGGTTTAAAGGTTAGTTTAAAATAATTAAATTGGTTTAATTTAATCATTTCGGTTAATTAAATTGGATCTGGTTTGAGTCCAGTTGGATATGTAATTTGGTTATTCATTAATGGTTTTTTTGTCTTTTTATACCCTTTTGTATTAAAAAGAAAATCAAAAACAAAATATAAAGATAGAAAGAGTATATGAGAATTTCTTATAAGGGAGAGGAATATGTGAGGTTAAGCTCCATTAACCAGAGACTCTACCAAACCCAAGTATCGGGCCTACTACCCCAGAATATTAAATGGGCCTATAACATCTCAAACATCGCCGAAATAGAATAGGCCTTATTAAAACACTGAAATCTCTCGTCGTCAGATTTACACTATCGCTACCGTTGAGACCGCCGCTTAGGGCGTCTCCTCCGCTATCGCCGTAATCAAGCAACCCCTCATCCGTCGGAATCTATCGCTTCCGATTCTCCGGGTATACTCCATATATAAGATACTCGATCTAGTATATTGTCGATCTGTTTCTAGTGAGTTCTTGGGAGTTATTCTTTTATCGTCTTTGTCTTGTCTCGATCTTTCTTCTAAGAGTAGTGTTACAATGATTTGAGTTATCGCTTAATCTTTTCTAATGGTTTTATTGCTTTTGCTTTTTTTTTTGGGTTATACATTCACGCGATCCTTACTTTGTGCCTTTTGTTTTCTCGTTGTTTAATCATTCTGATAGATTGGCCTCTTTGTTTATCTGAGATTTGTGTAGCATTTGCTCTCTTTCTTCTTGCGTTTATGTTTGTATCGTTGGATTATTTGATTAAGAATACTGTTTAATACTGTTGAAATTCTGAGCATTTGCTCTCTTTCAATTAATCGATCATTCAGATCAAAATTATTGTCAAGTGGAGAAATTTGGGTTAGTTAAGAGTTTAAAAATGAGACCAGGATCACTTTTTTTAGGAATCCTGTTTGTTTTCGGATTCTTATTTCTTGTGTGACGTCTGAATTGTCCAAAATCTTATTTTGTTCGAAGTTCATGAGCAGGAAAATCCTGCAGACTTTGCTTGAGCCTATGCTGTCGGTGAGAATCTTGAAAGTTGTGGTTTGTTATCCGCCGTTAAAGCTCTGCTGGCATTAAGATGGGGTGGGTTTGGGTAGGGTGGTGTTTAGGGAAAGGTAAGGATGCTTCACTTACTAAAGAATCATTTAGAATCGTGTTCCTTCATTTGGGTCCAAATGTGTTTTCTTTGGCTTATCGCATCTGCATTGATTAAGGTCTCTTGTAGGATTAGAAGCATTTTTGCCATTCTTTGAACATGATATATTTACGTTACTGTCTTGGATTAGTTTCTGGTTGTTGTGGTACAATTATACTATCTGAGGTTTAACTCCCTTATGGTGGTTTTTGGATCATGATCAAAGATGTGAAACTCTTAGAACTGTCTTATTAGGTCAGGATGTCAGAAATATGCTGATTCTGCAGGATACCCTCTGAGTCCAGCAGAATCATTGAATCATTTCAGAAACAATACTCGTATTTGATGAGTGTTCTAAGTTTGTCATTTGTAATTTTTTATATGAATGTTGATTACTCGAGAAGAGTATTGTAAAGTATATTCTCAATTCTATTTCTTAATATATCTTATAATATTTTATGTTGTCAGATGGGGAGAGTGAATGCAGATGGAGTCCATTATCGGTCTGGAGACAGCCCTTACGCTCTAAACAAAATTAAAAAGGCTATTACCAAAGGAAGCCAGGAGAAGCGACATAGGAAGACTTTGAAAGGAAAAGCTTGGAAGGGTGTGACATGCCCTGTCTGTCTTGAGATCCCTCACAACTCAGTTGTCCTCCTATGCTCATCTTACCACAAAGGATGCCGTCCTTACATGTGTGCCACGGGAAACAGGTTTTCAAACTGTCTAGAGCAGTACAAAAAAGCGTATACTAAGGATGAGAAAAGCGACAAACCACCAGAGCTGTTGTGTCCACTTTGTAGGGGAGAGGTGAAAGGTTGGACTATTGTGGAAGATGCCCGGAAGTATCTGAATTCGAAGAAAAGGGCATGCATGAAAGACAATTGTTCGTTTTTCGGAAACTATAGACAGCTCAGGAAACATGTCAAGTCTGTTCACCCAAGAGCCAAACCAAGAGCCATAGACCCTGTGCTTGAGGAGAAATGGAAGAAGCTTGAAGTTGAGAGAGAGAGGAGTGATGTGATTAGCACAGTCATGTCGTCAACACCTGGGGCTATGGTTTTTGGAGACTATGTGATCGAACCGTACAATGGTGTTTATGGTGATGACCTTGAGTCGGATGATTCTTTGGAAGGTGGATACTTTGATTTGGGATCGCTTGGAGCATTTGACATGGGTCGTCTTCAACCGCGTTCGGTTGCAGCCATCTCGAGCAGGGGACTTCGCAGTTACTTCATGAGCAACCACCGATACCGGAGCAGAGGTGGGCACAGAAGGCGGCAAGCACAATGACTGATACTGGATGATTCTGTGCCTTCCGACCAAAATTAAGCTTTGAGCTTTATGCAGCCGTGATGGGAAGGGCAAGTGGAAACAAAAACAAAGGGTGACTTTATGAGTTAGAGGTTTTGAAGATTGAGTAGGGTCTTGTTCCCTTGACCATTGATTTAAAGAAACGTTTCATATGCTTTGGATACTTTTGTTTCACCCATAAAAATCTCCAGTGGTTTCGTTCTTTAGCTCCTTCATTTTTCTGTGGTTTTAAAATTGGATAATTATTATTTTATTTTCTTGGAAAAAAACATTTTAACTAGACAGTACTAACCAGGTTTAAAATTATACTTGAAATTTGGATTGAAATTTGTTGCTTTTTCTAATATTTTTTAATTGTTTTCACTAAACCTGTATTACATCGTTGAGAAAATTTTGATGAATCAATACCACATTCTCTTCATCAATGTTAATTCTTTTCGTTAGTTTAACTTATTGATGTTAACTTCTTCGAGAATCTAACTAAGAAGTATGGAAAAACGGTTATTAGTACTTTGAACTAGTGGCGGAGCCAAAATATAAATATTCATAATAATGTTTTGATTTAAAAATAATTGTACCTCAAAAGGTAAATATAATCTATTATATTAAAACAAAAACACTTTTAGTACTTGCTTTCAAACATTCTTAAAGTTTTTTTTATGATATTTTATTTTATATTTATATTTAATTTCTGAAAATTAGTTATTAATTTAGATATTTTTATGTTTCCTAAAATCTAGATTATCTTTAACTTAAATTTCCAATTATTGAAAATTTATGATAATTAAATTTAATTAAAAAAATATGTATTTAAATTAATTTAAATTCAAAAAAATCAACAAAAAATATCATTAAATTTTATTACGAAAATTTAGATAATAATTTTAATACTTTAAAATTCCTTAAATACAAGTTAGAATTAATTTTAAATTTTAAATTTAAATAATATTTTTATAATACTGCATAGTAAATAAATATTTTATCATACTTTATCATAATCAATCGGTCTAAAATATCAAATATTTTAGATTAATAAATATTTATATTATACAATAATATGATTGAGCTGATTAGAGTTATATATATATATATATATATATATATATATAAATACATAAGGTTTATGAGTTAATTTATAAAAACATGTAAGATATTAAGATGATTTGAGACAATTAAACTAACAAGTTAGCCAGTTTATATATATACATATACACATTTTTTAATAGCATAAATAGTAAATAAATATTTTATTATATTTTTTCATAATTAATTGGTCTAAATATTCAATATTAGTAAATATTTATAGGGTTATACATTTATAATTATAGTTTTATAGTTTAGTTTGTCAAAACATGTAAGATATTAAAAATGATTTTAGACAACTAAACGGACGGGTTAGCAAATTCATAGATATATAAATTATTTATGTGTAAATCTAAATTCACATAATAACAAAGTTTATAATTAACATTAAATCAATGTATACTTAATTAACGCATACTCTTATTCTACTAATATACAAATTTTCACTGCTTAAAATTAAAACATGATAACAATTTTTTGATTTAAAAAAATAAATAACAAAAACTAATTATATCTAAACAAAAAATTAATGCAACCTATATTAGAAATAAAAAATTCTGTTGCGGACGCACGGAGTTAAAATCTAGTTGTAACTTAAATTGTTGTATCTTAAATAATTGTACCTAAAAATAATCTCTTCTGTTTCGACGCGATTTAACTACTCCAACGAATTGGTACTTGTTCTCACAATGTCGACAAAATGGTACTTCTCCTGACAATGTCGACGAAATGTTCAATCTGATTTTCGATATTATTCTCCATTATTGCTTACATGGGCTAAAATTATAAACTTTTACTGGACTTCTATGTGTGTGGCTCTTTAGAAATAGGGATTTCCCTAAACGTTTTTGGGTTTGTAATATTTTTATTTCTCTTGTCTTAAATATGAAAGCCTTTTCTAAAAAAAATAATTGTATAAATTTTGTTTAAAAATAAAAAAATATGACCTTGAATTCACTCATGTTTTTTAATCATTTTATTAGTGGTTAAATTCAAGCATCTGGTTGTTAATAAAACAATCACTTATAAATGCATCACTAACACTATTACTCTAGGTAATCTTCATAATATTCATTGCAGAGAAGAACGATTGTGATCACAACAGGTAAAATTAAAACATAGCTTCTAAAAATCAATACACTTAATCGTCGTTGAGGTGTCGGCTTCACATGGAATTTTTAAAGCGTTTTGCTTACGTGTTATTATTTAGAAAACCTTTCCTGAATTTTGCTTACATATAATAATTTAACTTAAAATTAACCGATTTAAATTTAAAAACAGAACTGAAAATTAGATTTAACAGTCTCAAATTATTTGGTATGAAATTTACTTAAAACGTACCAGATTTATTTAAACTGAACCAGAATCGTAATGAACCAACCTTATTATAATTTTTATTAGATCAAAATTCACTTAAAACGAACCGAATTTATTTAAACCGAACAAAATCGTAACAAACTGAAATCAGTTTTTTGGATTGGTTTGATCTCCAATCGGAATACCAATTATCGATTTCTTATGATTTTTAACTTATACCGATAATTCTTTTTTTTTGGAGGGCTGGCCGATTTAAGTATTTAGGAAAGAAAAAAAAATAGCTGAAAACCCTAACTTAGTTTGTGGGTATAAACATAGGTTTTATCCTCCACATTTTGTGTCTCGAAGTACCTTCTTCTTTGTTTTATGTTGTTAGAGTTTTTCTTAATATTGGTTGTCAATTATATATACTAGGTGAATATCCGCACGTAACGTGCAGATTTTTCTTTTCAATTATTTCAAATTTATATTTTTGTAAAAGTAAATATAACCATCATTTGTTAGTATGTTATTATAAATTAAAATTTGATTTAAAATATATACTGAATATTATTAAATAATTTAGAGTATATAAAATTAAATTAAAATCCATCGATATTGTTAAATAATTATAACATAAATTCTCTTATTTAACATTTATATAAATGTTATTTAAAAATTAATTAATTTACATAAATAACATTTTAAATGTATATGTTTCATTCTTTTTATTGCTGATGTGTTAGAAAACTGGAGAGAGTTGGTTATCTTTTATATATAAGATATTTTTTACGTTCTTGCATCTTCGCTTGGTTTTTAGTGTAGTTCATTTTTTCTGCTAAAAAATTGACTGATTTTGTTTTTTGTTTTTTTATCGTGTATGTGGCTTTGATTCTAGATATGTTGACTCGAGGTTTTTTATCCACTGCGCCGAGTTTGAGTATGACCGCTAGCTTTTTTTTTTGTTTTTGGTCTCAATTTTATTTCATTAATCTACGTCTCTCCTATTTGATTTCTTTTTTTAAAAAAAATATATCACACTCTTATAGTTTTAATTTGATATATGATATTAGGGAAGAAAATTACTTAAATAATCTATTTTAAAGAAATTAAGACAAAAATCAAAATTACAATGCAAAAGTAAATCGTTCAAATTAAAAATATAAAATTATCAATGTCATAATGTTGAAAGATTTAAATTCAAATGTTGAAAGGAAAAATTTATTAGAAATTTTTCAAAATTATATTATTCAAAAACTTTAAAAATCATAAAATCATTAGCGGGGAAGAACGCATGATGTGGGCAAATACTATTGGTTCGATAAAGGTTTTAATAATGTTAATTAAGGTATATTAAGAGAACATATATAGAAACTGAATAAAAAGATGAACATACATGTGAGTTTTGACCAGTGAAGAAATTGGAGGATATTGATTTCATATTGGTGAATGGATACATAATATGTAGTTGTACTATTCTTTAGAACATAATTATGTGTGAAAGAAGGTGACAAAGGGAGTTTGCCAATAGTAAAGACATTAACAGTGAATGTAAACTGTAAAAAGAAACAAAAATAAAAGGATAAGAAGAAGCATAAGAAGGAAGAGAAAGATTGATAATACAAATAGTAAAGATGTAATATGGTAATAAAGAGAAGATTTATAAGATATACTGGATATCAAGTACAAGAAAATAGTAATAAAGACGTCAGTCCGCTGAACAAAATTAGATTATTTAGATAAAATAAGATATAATAAGTGAAATCAGAACGTCAAGTTTTTTTTTTTTTTAATTTTGTAGCATCATTATCGGGTTGAATGACTCTTTCAGCTCTGTCTCACTTTTAAACATATATATCACAAACCAAAACAACTAAGATAATGAATCACCATAAAGCAAACTAAAATGTTAGATGTTCAGATTTACTAAATTTGACACAAAATGTTGTTGGAATCCAATATTAATAAGTATTTGGATTTGTAATATTGAGTTTGTGTGTGAATAAAAAAAGAAGTTTAATAAGTAAATAGGCCTTATAAGTTCATTTGAGATTTGGGTATGAGCCTATGGAAATGAAATGTTCTCATTAGCTATAACTAAAAGTGGAAATGCATTTATCCCACATTGCTTAGCAAGAAGAGAAAACTCTTGTATATATATGGCCTTATCGCAATAAGGGCCAACAGCATTGTGGAAGTAAAAAGGCATTATACAAAAACACCTACGCGCGCCGCTGCCGCCACCGTCGCCGGTGCCGGTACCGGGCTCGGGCTCGGGCTCGTGCTCGTTGCTTTTTTTAGTTGGCTCTTGAGCTCTTGGGCTCTATATAGCTGGGTGTGGGTCGTAGGCTTCTTAGTTCCTGCGAAATAATTTTTGCATATTCAAAAGATAAATTTTAGGAAATAAAAGATTGTGTCCATATACTAACGGAAGATTTCCGAATCTTTTTACTTGCGAGAAAAAGAAAATATCTCGTGAATATCCCTTTTCGCCAAAGCTTATTCCTTGCGGATCAAACTTAACCTTCCAGTATAAATAGACGCCCTTTTCTCTCATTCTAGATCATCGAATTCTCGAATACACCAAACACACAGCAAATAATTCTTTCCAGAAAATTCCTCTCGTCTTAATATCGTAAATGTCTCGAGAGCTATATCATAGTATTATTTCAGTTTGCAGATTCTATTATGGGTGTTGCATAATAGTCTCATCACGGTTGTATCCTGGAATTCAAAAGTCGCACCATACGGTCACACATTACTAGCGATTTATTGAATTAAGGAAAAAGATCATATCTCGACTCCGTGTTTTCATCTGTTTTC